ATTAGCGTTTCATGTTTCAAATTACATAATGTTCAAAAAATATTGCTCTATTTATTGTTGATTGGAGATTGTTAGTCATTTCGGGACATAATGTCAAGTATATATATATCACTACATGTCATTTTTAAGTCATTTTCAGATTTTAAAAATAGAAACTAATCATGTCAGTGCAAGAAAAAAGCAGTACTGGCGGGTAGTGACGTAGGAAATAGATTTTCCATGTACACAGCCGTGACCTGTAGGTCATTTAAAGGAAACTTACGGCATAGAAGGAAAATCACCCTGCGGTCCTAAGCCCTCATATCTCAGTCTTGTCTGTAAACACGGGGGAACTATTTTTAGGGTCATGGTAGTTTAAGTGTAGACTGTTAAATTCAGTTATTTGGAGAAAATTACTTAGTGAGCTTTAACAACATTTTGTTTTTGTTTTTATAAAATCACTCACAGTGTTGCATTATGATCCGATAATTGCTGCTGTTCCAGGCAGCGGTTTCATCTTAAGAAGACTTTAATACTGATAAATAAGAGCATTTCCCACAGCTATCTCAACAATGTTGTCCTAATTTATTTGATATTATTAACATGCTGTCACCATGTGGCTGAGGAGATCTCTTTCATGTGGCTGCAAGCTGTTTGCATCAGCAGTGTTGGTGTTTTTGCTGTGGTTTTAATTTTAACCCTCCTGTTTCGCATATATGCACACAATATTACAGCTAAAGGGAAGGTTAGAAAGAACCGTAATGAACTTTATCAGAACACAGAGGATAGCTTAATACGATGTAGTGTGGCATTTGCATTATTGGTCAAATACATAAAGGCTACCAGAGCAGCTTCCTCTCATTACTCTTCATTCATCCAGTTAATGTTCAAGCCTGTTCAGCTAACACATTACCTATTAAAATCTGATGAGGAAAGCTCCCACTGCTAGTCTAATTGACAGACAGTTTTCAGAGGAAAGTCATTCAAGTTAATCGAATTTCACCAGGTGTGCCACAGAGTACAATCAAGCAATTATTTTACAAATAATTGGAAATCTTCCTCGAGGGCAACAAATAAGAGCAAAGCTTTAAGTAACAAAGCCGTGGTTAGTTCCTCGGAAGGTAATCTTAATGCGCTATGTGTGACTGTCTGCCTGTTTACTATGTCATCCATCACTACCTTTCAGTAATGTCATCTGCTGCCCTCTGTGTAATGTTTAAACTTCTCAGTCTTGTCAGCCTCTCTCGCCTCGGGGCAGTGTCCATTCCCTCACGTAACTCTCAGTCCAGATTGAAGGGCACATGTGTGGCTTCACTCACTGATGACTTGAGCCAGGCATCAGCCTGCAGTGTTTGTCACATTACCTGCCTGTTGTTGTCATACTTATTGGTCAGCAGTTATTCTGCAGATGGAGCCGTCTGTATTGACCTGCGACAACGATTTCGATGTTTTTTCTGCAATGTGTGGTTTGAAATGAAGCCAATTACTTCACCTGCTTCAATACATTTTCTACTAGCCACCGAAACCAAACATCTTTAGACTCTTTAAAGTTGTTATGTTTATGTATTTATCTCATTTTTCCAGGGAGGTTTTGATTATATGGTCAGTGTCTTAAACCCAGTGTCCGGTAATTAACTTAATTGCCTTATTGTGCCACATATAAATTAATTTAGTACATTACATTGAGATAATAAGGTATTATGTTAAATGCAAACAGAGCTAATTTTAAAGGTCCAGTGTTGTAACATTTAGAAGGATCTATTGGCAGAAATAAAATATAATATTCATAGATATGTTTTCATTTGTGTATAATCACCTGAAAATAAGAATTGTTATATTTTTGTTACCTTAGAATGAGACGTTTTTATCCACCTATACTGCAGGTCGCCCTCCATGGAGACTGCCATGTTGAGCTGCCATGTTTCTACAGTAACTCAGAATGGACAAACTAAACACTGGCAATAGATAGGGATGTTGGTAGGGGTGGTTGAAGCAAGGGAGTTTCAGTCTGCAACTACACTGATAGATGCCACTAAATCCTACACTCTATATATTTTATATAAATTGATCAGTGGTTAATAAGTTTGAGCCTGAATGCAACTCAAGAAGATCTTGATCTCAAAATTCTACTGAAGTATTTACTATTTAAAGGATCAAATATAAAAGTAAATATGAAAGTTTTGATAACATATTGGATGCTTAATCACTTTAATCAACTCAAACCTCCTCATCAGACTCAAGTGATAGTTTAGTGGAGCAGCTGGTGTCCCTTACGCACGTAAAAACACCAAGCATCTGTGTGCGTGTGTCGTTTTTATTACATGACTGTTTTAATTTCTTTTATTTACCTGACTGTTTGGCCTTTCATCATTGCTCACCGGAAAATCTACCCACATTTGGTACTTGTTTGGTGGGTGTTCATTTCAGATCCTGCTTAAACTGCTAGACCACCAGCAAAGGTGCACCTTTAATGCACTTAATACACAGAAAATAAGTAAAAATAAGTTATGTATTATAAAAGTAGAATAAAGCAAATTAAAAACTCTTGAGTCAGCTTCTCATTTGAAATGTGTAAATGAATAGAACTTTAAGGAAAAACTATCCATGAGTAGCATAAAGGTTTAATCCCCCACGTGGCTTTGGAAGACCGAGGGTAGTGAACAGTCATCAGGCTCTTGAGTCTTTATTTTTCAATTCAATTTGAATTTATTGTTGTTGTTATTATGATGTACTTCACATTAATGCATCAACCACATGACAAACAAGTTATACCACAATTAGAAGATAACCATGTATGTCTACAACATCCTCTTTTAGTTTGCAGTGTTCACATACTGCTTAGGGAAGTGGTTGTGGTGGCTTTGACTGTTGCCACGCAACGAGTGTCCCTCTATCTGAAGCTGAAATGTTTGAAACTTTAAGTGTTAGCGGCTAGAAACACAGGCACTGTCCTCACTGCTACTAATGGCCGGTCCTCCGGTAGCAATGTAACAAATAAAGAAAGACATTGACGTCGTCGTCCTTGGCAATACAAAAAAAAACAGCATATATATATATATCAGATATATATTGTAGTAGCACTTTTTTGATGAGTCACTTTCAAGGTTGATTTAATCCAAAGCTGTGTGCCCGTACGACAGGAAAGACAAATCTATATTATCGCCTGTATCACTACTGGTGTGTCATTTATACCAATAATTCTGCCTCTCCATTGTTTAATCACTCAGAAAACACACTACAGAGGGTCGATTGTGCTAAAAGCAAAAAGAAAGAGCTAAAATTAAAAGATAAATTCCCTCTGTAGGACGGCACATGGAGACATTGTCATTTACAAAAACACCTACACATATTTCAAAGACTTAATTTCAGCAGCTCTGTGTTGGTGAAATCTTACTGCTGTCTCCTGTGGGTTAAAACATTGGTGGGAATCTGTTGTTAGGGTGTGCTATGTGTGTCTGGCAGGGGTGTCATCTCACCTTTCAGTAAATAGTCTATTGTCACCGTCCCATGTTTTAGTGTCTAACGTACTGTCATGTGTGAAAAGTTAATGAGTGTAGAGAAGTTGTGAAATGTATCTTCACACCCGTCTTCTTCTACCTTTCTCCTTATGGCAGACTCGTTGAGTAGTGGTTTCTGATTTCTGTTTTTTATTCTAGTGTTTGAAAAGGAACACGTAGAACCCTGTGGATCCCCCCCAATATGTCCCCTTGTGAGCAGGATCTTTATAGTCTTAGTCTTATGATTTTATAGTGTATTAGGATTGGTTATTGTCCAGTGTGTAACATTTAGAAGAATATAATACTCATATGTATGTTTTCATCGGTGTATAATCACCTAAAAATAAGAACTGTTGCGTTTCTGTTACTTTAGAATGAGACGTCCTCTAGGGAGTCTGCCATGTTGAACCACCGTGTTTCTACAGTAGCCCAGAATGGACAAACACTGGCTCTAGATAGGGCCAATCACGTTTTTCACAAGTTTCCCAGCCACCGTTGTTTCTCCCACACACTTCCTCACTGAGCTGTATTTGTTGTAACTTTACCGCTGGATGCCACAAAATCCTGCAAACTGGTTCTTTACATATTCAGTTTTTCTCCCCAATTTCATTTTTAGAATTTAGACTTGAGCTAAGATGATTGTTTGAATAAACTGTATTTTGATAATGACTGGTTGTCTTTTTTGTTTTTGGTGGTGTTTTTTTAATAAGGAAGAATATTTGCTGGAGAATTTGTTACTTTTCTTCATCATATATCAGTATAAACTGTACATCTTTAGGTTTTGGGCTGCAGGATTAATCAAAATATTATTGAAAGTTCAATGTCCAAATTGCAGGAAGCTGCAGTTTTTTTATAAAATGTGTGACAAAACAGATACACTGGTCTACAAATCTTTTTCTCCAGAAGTCCCCAACATCATGATTTTAATAGTTTTTTTAGTGAAAGTTAAATATGTGATGCAAAGATTATCATTCTTGTACTAATCGTTAATCATATCACGATCACAGTATCAACTATCATCAATAATCGCAATATGATGTTTTTACTATATCATGCAGCCTGATCTCATCTGGGGCTCTGGGAAGTTGTAATGGGCATATTTTCATTGAAATAATATAAATAATTGTTAGTTGCAGCCCGATTTACACCATTATGAGACACTAAAGTCTCAAAAAACCTAAAATATCAGTCTCCCATGTATACTTGTTGAGAATGTGAGATTCTGTTTGTTTGGTACTTTTATGTAACAGGTTTTGTCGTGCATCCTTACATGCCCTTAATCTCCCCCCATACCCCCTTGGCCACCCTGCCCAGCACCAACTCTAACAATATCCCCCTGTAATTATGTAGCTGCAAGGCAGCCGAAGGAGGGTGTCGGGTCAGGCGGCCCCGTTGATCTCACGTGTCAATGAAGGCTGAGCCAAGCTTGCTCTGCCAGACACAAAAACACCCGCCAGCCACACAGTGGAGTCAGATCTCTCTTTGACAAGTTGGGACACACCAAAATGTTCCTCTTTAGCCGTCTGAACGGAGTATTCCTCTCTCAAAGCTCAGAAAGGGTCGATACTCACTGCTTTGGCTTTGCCTTGAATGCCTGAAAATGTTGCTTACAAGAGGATCCATATATAGCTCCATGCCAAAACCTTTAAGTTAAGCTCTTGCATATTCGTCTTGGCACTGGATGTCCTGTACAAAACAGACTCATTGACAGCTCCAGAGGATTTGGTGGGCTGTCCTCAGCCCCCACAGAAACCTCAGGGGATACCGCAAGCTCTCAGACTGCTGGAGGAAGAGGTCGACCCGCGCTGACGCTACCCTGCAGTGTCATTGCTCTCAGCAGCAACTCAACCCTTCCTCTTTCCTGCAAACAGTGAGTGACTGAAAGAGAAGAAGAGTAACAAAGCTACTTCAAGCATTTTTACACTTCTCTCCAGATCTTCGGTTTTCCCCTGGACAATTTGGAGCTATGACCTAAAGATCTAAAGACCATTTCAGGAATGTAGTCAATATCACGTCTGGGATTAGTTTGGGCATTTACAACAACAACAAACCAGTGAGAGAGGAGAGACAACTGTGGAAAATCCTTCAATGCAGCTTAGTCCTCAGTTACAACAGCTCCCTTTCTGCTTCTTCCTTCTGGAGAGACTAATTGAATATCACACTCCAGTCAGCCTTGTTGAGGCTTGCCTGGGACTTCAGTGGAAGAACTCTACAACATTCCTCAACTTTTTTTGCTGCATCCTGAGGCACTGAGGATTAATCAGATCTGTCCTCCATCTGACTCTATCAGTTTTGTTTTTGTCTCTCACCTGAACGCTTTCTGTGTTTGGCTGTATCGCAGAACAAAACCTCATGGAGTCAATACAGACCCACCCGGTGGTTCATGGGAGAAAAGAGTTGTAAAGTTCAAGAATCTCCACGAAAGGATCGATTCAGATGTTCAGGTTATTTTCTTAGCAGCCCAGAGTGTCTGGTATGAGTCAGGAGCTCGAGGGACAATGAACAAAGACCTCCGATTGGCAAGGAAAGGGGCGCCGACTGGTTTCGGACACGGTCGGAGACACTCGTGCTTGGGGTATGTTCCTAAACTATCCATCCTGCGTCTATTCGGCGCTCATATTCATTAGAGGGAGGGTTCATACAAGCTGCAAAGTACGGCTGCACGCATTGGCTCACAGACCTGGAGTGATCACTGTCCAGTATACAGCAATAGACAAGGTTACTTTTAAACAGATCACAATTATTGACGTACCAGTGATTTTACTGTTAGTCCTGATAATACATGTGCACTGAGAACAGCTGCTACTGATTTTGCAGAAGTTAATTTCATGGTCTGATTTGAATAGTGACAGAGAGAAAATGCATTTGTTCATAAAAAAAACACAAGCTTATACTCTACTTAGTTAACACGATATGCAAGAGCGACGTGAGAACATAAGGAAGATGGATAATTGGATATCCAACAAAAATAGATAAAACCTTGGCTGCAACATTTGCACTATAATACCCTAAAATGTGATAGATAAATAAAAGAAAAGCTAGAATGTAGTTTGGTTCCTGAAAATGATTCAGAAATAGTTCACTAGTTCAATAGTTTGGAGTTCACAAAGAAATCCAGTGAAGCACTTAAACCAACTTCAGTGGCAGAAAATGGACCAGAATACAGTAGAGCAACAGAACAAGTTGCAGTAAAGATTGTGAAACTCTTGAGTCTACTCAAACCAAGAAACCCTCAAGGGTTTCAATGTTGTTTCTGTTATCGCAGTCTGCAGCATTCTATTAAAGGATTACTGATGCCACTGTCACATCATATGATAACGATGAAAAAGATTCACACGTTTATGAAATATATATTTACAACATAAGACAATAATTCTAGATGGTTGTATGTTTGCAGAGTTGGTCTAGTGAGGTTTACACATACAATGTGCTTCTATATCCATTAAATGTGGGTTTAATGTGTTCAGATCACAATGATGAGACCATATTACAGTAGAGGATCTGCTGTATCTTATAGCTCATGCTAATGTAAGTCTGTGGCCTGTAGAAAGGGTTGTACAGAGTATTGAGGTCAGCAGTGTGACATGATGAGCTGCACTGTTTTTCTATTTGCTGGCATTTTACCCAACAGCTTTTGAGAGGAAGCTAAGTTTTGTTTGTGGCAAGTTTCATTCAACACACTTCCTGTTTTTGCTAAAAGTCTCTCGGAGACATTTTTCAGCACGATGACCCTGAGACAAATGTTGCAGACTGAACACACAGCACTGAAGTGAGTGTCGGACCATCTGGAGATGTTTGTGTTCCAGCAGCTTAAAAGCAGATGCAGACATGCAGCACAGTTTACTTTTTGTGTACTTTTTTGCATGTGCTTCAGTTTGTGAAAAATGTATTCTTCTCTGACACTGTGTGTGTGTGTGTGTGTGTGTGTGTGTGTGTGTGTGTGTGTGTGTGTATTTGTGTTGTCAGTGGGCCTGATGCATTGTTGTCTGTCTATGAGCAGAGGGAGGGTGTTGGTGGATAGATAGCCCCACTTGTTGTTGCTAATCTACGTCGAGGGGCGGACTCACGTTACAACGATGACAAACACACACTGCCCTCTGTGTGCCCATGTATGTGTGTCATGTGTTTTTATGTGCGTTCCAGTGTGTGTGTGTGTGTGTGTGTGTGTGTGTGTGTGTGTGTGTGTGTGTGTGTGTGTGTGGGTGTTCATGCCTGTTCCTGTCCTCTGTCCCGTTGAGCATTAAGCGGGGCTGACTGGTGGGCACCGCCCAGCTCTCCACTCTGCTGGTGGGTCAGGGGTTGACTCAGCCTCCCATACCACATCAAGACTAAAAACACGTGGCACACCTTCACCACCATCACCTAGCGCGAGAACCATACAGTTACAGAAGAGGGAAACTAAGAATAATAACTTGTCTTTCTTCTCTGACATGACAGCCCTTGGTGCAGCAGTAGACTTTACTGTATATATTGCTCGTAGCACCTGCAGCTGTAGATGTTGTGAATTGTTGTGAAGACGTTTGACCTTTGAAAAACACAAAAATAAAGTTATAAGAAAAGTATTGTACAGAAGATTATTCTGCCTGCCAAAAGCAAAACACAGGTATGAATTTAAAAAGCTGAATGTAAAGCACATCTTTCTACCAAGAACACTTTTGGTGGGAGAGTGGATTTATGTTGAACTTGTTTTGTTATTTTTACTGGCTCTATTGTGATTCTTCATCACTCTTTTGATTATTTCAGCACACCTTAAGCTCAAAAGGTATCAATGCATTTTTTAACCTACAATATCTTGTTCCCAAAAGTACTACCTATTTCCTATACCCAGTTCACTCAGTATTGTAGAGAAGGTTGTTCGTATAAACACATTTTGCTGTTCCCATTCAAACTCAAACATGCCAACTAAGAGGATGACGAAAAAGGATGCAGTTTCAATATCGAACATTTATCAGTGCTGTAGGTGTCAGGAATATCATGTAACAATTATCTGATGACAAAGAAATGTCTTTGCTCTTGATGTCAAAGAGGGTAATTTTGCTCACAGCTGCAAGTTATGCAAACAAGTTTTGTTTGTTTGGGTTTTTTTTTAAAGATGCGTGTGGTGTATAAGATTTTATCTTATCTGTCAACTTTGCATATCTGTAAAACATTTGGAGATTACTCAAGTGAAAGGGAAACTAGGGGGAATTTTGAAATAATATTACGTCACAAGTTGGCAAGCTGTCAGAGTGACTTCCCCGAGTAAATGACTCTCGTTAACACACGGCAGAAATGTGTTAAATAGTTTGATCATCTACCGACTAAAGCTGTGTGAAAATTAAAGGACAAGTGTAGGATTTAGTGGCGTCTAGCGGTGAGGTTGCAGATTGCAAGGAGAACCTCCATTGGCCTTCAAGACCCCCTCTAGAGCTAGTGTTTAGTTTGTCTGTTCTGGGCTACTGTAGAAATAAGGTGGGCTCTGTGGAACAGGACCCACTCACCTCAAGGTGATTATACACTCACGAAAATATATAATTATTACTATAATGTTCCCTTTCTGCAAATAGATCCCCCTTAAATCCTACACACTGGTCCTTTAAGACTATTAGATCACTCTAGGCCTGTCTGGTCCCAGCCTATCATCCAGTGCATTCCCAATAAGAGACTTGTTTCTGACCCAGTACAGCCACAGTTGAGTGTATTTGGTTGGGGGGGGGGTAACACAACAGACCCCCAAAATAAACCCCTCAAGCCTGGAATAGTTCCCCAGCCCCGCCAGCTTGGCTGCACATAACACGTGAGTGTGACATGTGTTTCTTGTTTCTTGTTTCTCTTGTACACACATTTTTACACACTCTTTTACACATACACACACACACACACCCTGCCACAGCCACCCGTCCCAAAATCCATATTGATTGTTCCACCAGAGAGTTGCTGTTGTTGTAGTACTTCGAGGTCATGTTGCCAAATTAGGTGTTGTGTTTTACCAGCAGTGGAAAACCAGTTGAGTGTCAGTTTTGGGTTCATTGTATAAACGTTTCAGCCTTCACACTATTTCCCCCTTCTGCTTATTTCAGTACAATCTTATCACTGTTGGAAGTTTAATAATCACACAGTAATAGTAGTTGTAATGATATTGCCATTGTTTCTGTGGTTGAGCTGGCAGTGTGTCTGTACAGTATGTTTGTGTTTGTTTTGCTCCCGTGTGAAAATACTACAGTTTCTGGGCACAGAGCGACCTCTGCTGGATAGTCACTCCGCACTCAGAACTCTAATTCACTCCAATATTGGCTAAATATCAATGTTCTCTGATGGCGTAGATAAAATAGGCTTGACTTCGTCTGAACTCAGTGAATGTAAATTTGCTGAATCATGCTCTACTTATCTTGGACAAATAAAGATTAAAGCCAAAAAGGCCAAAATTAACAGACACTACCCTCTGAAATAACACATTGTGGTCAACTGCAGCTGCAGGTTGTGTGTTTTCTGGGAGGCACATGAGAAGCAGCGTGACTTCAGTCCTGTTGGAGGATGTTAATATGAACTAAGCAGCAACCATCATGACTGACTGTTGAAGCCACTTACAGACACATGCTGGAGGACTTCACTGAGGCTACAATAACACTGGGCTTTAATCCATCACAAAAGCTGCATTTGAATGAATTAAACATTTCACAAATTCTGATGAGTCTGAAGTCACATTGCCACAAATCAGACATGTATGAGTATGAGGACTGCATGTGAAAGCAGCACGACTCATAATTGGAAAAGTCAGATTCAGTGTGATTGTTTCTGTTCTCACTGTTGTACACTCTGTGGCATGAATGCAGGTTTTTCATCTTGATCAAACACCACAGCAGCTCTCCGATGAGCTCGTCCTGTCTGGGTAAAGGGATGTTAAACACTGAAATGAGCCACAGTCACAAGCAGCTGGAAGTCACTGCTCTACGCACACATGTGCCACAAGGTGGTGCAAGTCTGTCTCTGCTCCGCTGTCACAAAATCATTGTAGTTAATAAAACACATACATGTGCAGACAAAGTGCTGCTCAGAGTCTTCAGGATACATTACTGTTTTTAAATGAAGACTTTAATTGCTGTAAAACATAACTAAAATTATATATTCACTGTTTTTAACCCACGCTGTACTAAAATGTTGCTTACTGTTATTGTATTATTATATATTCACCCAATTTTGAGCTGGGATTGACTCCATCCCCCCTGCAACCTAAAAGGATATTAGCTGATGGATGGACAGTTTAACAGACAGATAGTTTTGATGAACTATTTTATTAGTTCATCAAAACTAATGACTCATTTTTAATAACTGGAAACTCCCAGTATAGTTAAACACATCTTTACTGCACTGAAAGTGTACATGTTCATTAGTCGGGGAAAATAAGGTAAGAATGCTGGTTTTTGAGAAGAAGGTATAAACTTTTCTGAACTGAACTAGAAAGCTACGTTTTAAAATAAGATCTGGATTAAAAAGTATGTCTATTAAATTAAATAATGACACTTTGTCGCTGCGAGCTTCAGCAGACTGACTCATATCTGATATTTTAATAGGTTAATAACTAATAATAATTAATTCTGTATATCATTATAAACTTGGTACAGACACAGACACACACAAACACTTTCTCACACACTCATGCATACAGATACATGACACTCCCCCCTCACAGCTTATTCTCATTACTAGTGGTAATGTTGTCATAGGAGCCAGCAGCCAGCTGGAGCGTAGAAGTCATTTGGCTGTTGGATCTGGTTACACAGCGGCCTCACAAACACCTCATTCTCAGCAAACCTCCACCCCTGCATCTGAGGTCCAACATGTTTCACAAGCACGTTGCACAAGGAGGGCGGAGAGCTTTGGTGGGAGCGGTTTTAGTTTACTTTAACTTAGACAAAAAACAAAACATTAAAATCTCAATGTGATATTGGAAATAACTGCATGAAAAGCTTAATGCTTGTTCCAAATAACAATGGTTCAAATACAAATGTTGCTATTATTCCTTTGCAGGATTTTAAGTTTAAATCAGCACTTGTTTGTACACAAATTGGATCCACAAAATTTTACAAGAAGCACTTCTGAATGACTTTAAATCACTTAAATGGAAGGGTTTGCGTGTGTTGTCGAGGCAGTAACTCCTGTAGGTCAAAGTGGTCCCACGCATGGAGCGAATAGAAGTGAATCAAAAATTCAGTTCAGTTAGTTTAGTTACTTTATGCTGATGGAGTTCCTGGTTGTGGAGGAACTGGTGTCGGCTCATGCAGTCTGAATGTGTTTTGTGGATTTGGAGAAGCTTTGTCATCGTGTCCCTCGGGGAGTCTTGTTCGGGTTGCTGTAGGAATATAGAGTGCTGGTACTGTATAACTAAATAGAGAGTTGTAGGTTTTCTCATAGAAACTCAAATGATTTCTCAGTCAGGGTCTGATTCCACCAAAGCCGCTCTTTGTCAGTGTTTGTGATTTTATTGGTCAAAATATGCGTGGACAGTGTCCAGTTGGATGACCCCGAGGATTGCATCTCCACTATTTGCGGACAATGTAGTTCTCTTGGCTTCATTGAACTGTGACCAACGGCATTCACAGCTGACTGTAAAGTGGTTCAGATGAGGGTCAGCACCTCCAAGTATTGCTGGCTCGTTTCTCATCTCTGCACAGCTGGCCAAATCGGTGTGAAATGAGCGTTAATGTCGGATCGTCTGGCAGAAACGCTCCGACAAAGCCCCCCTCTTCTGACATTTGACCATCACGCAAGCAGTTCTGATAGTATACTGGTCCGTTAATTCCATTTGAGTTAGACAGGGACCTTGTTTTGTCTTGCCTAATGCAGGGGAATCTTGCCTGATGGCCTTGCATTGGTTTCATATTTCTGAACAACTGAGCCATCAGTGTAGTCCCAGGTCTGGAACTCAACCAAATTACCAAATTAAATAATATGAGCCCACAGCTGGGGCCATCTGATATCGCCCTGCCTGTATATAAAATCAGCCAGTGGCAGATTACAGTAGCAATAGTCAGCATTTAAAATCCAATTGAATTTTCAACTGTCTGTCCGTACAAGGCATGTAGTGTAGTGTAAGTCTGGTCAGTTTAATCAAACCCTTGAGTTGGAATTAAATTAATTTTACTGTGAGTTCGTAGACAAGAACTGTTTATAAAATGTACATAAAAATAAATAGCTGAAGGTTTACCAATGTGATAGCGTTGCCACTTTCAGTAGGTCAAATCAGTTAATTTTTTATATCTGATGATTTAAAGCCCCCCCTGCACTACACCTCCTTTCCCATGTGCCTGTCAACACGTCCGACTCAACTGTCTGCCCTGTGTCTCAAAAGACAAATATTTGCTTGTGATGTCGACAGCAGCGAGTCAGTCAGTTGATGTGAAATCATCAGGCCAAGTAAGTCCGTCACTCCCGGTGGTGGCCTCATCTGCAAGAGCACACTCAGAGCTGTCCCACTTTAGTTGAAAATGTACTGTATATGGTACATATGTGTATGTATATAACTCCTGAAAACATCAATAGGAACATATAGAATAATATAAAACGATAGAAATACATGAAAGAG